TTACTTCGAGCAGGTCAAACTGAAAGAGTTGATACAAGCTTTCGTCCTGTTTTCATTGGCACATATTCACAAAGTTTTATGTTAGAGGATTCGATTAGCTCGGAAGGTTCTGGTGGATTGGGTGGTGTTAGTGTTCGCGTTCAAGGCGAAGGAAGAGCGGATGTATCTAATCAAATAAAGGTTGATACAAAAAAAAGTGGATCGAGAACGATGGACTTTGAAGTTTCCGAATCTGAAATTCAAATTCCTGCTACCAGAATTGGGAAACGTAGATCAGTTGGAATTAATATAAATAATCCCTCAAATCAACTCGTAAGGATAAAGTGCAAATGTGAAGTAATGGGAAACTCAGGCTCAATTCCTAATTTGTCAATACCTTTGTCAAGTGTTCAAATAAAACCGCATGCATCTGTTACCTTACCGGTACGTTTTCAACCAAGAGAAGTGGGTGAAGTTCGGGCTGTTGTCAAGCTACAAGCTATCGGTAGAGCAGAGGTTTTGGTGGATATTATTGCGAAAGGTGTGCAAGATACTCCTATCGCTACTGAGACATAGTCGTTCGATATTGTGACTGTGTATAACTCTCATCCTTACAAAATGCCCAACATTCTATCTACCCCTGTCATATCAACAAATATGAAGCTTACATTTTTTGACTGTGACTTTGGCATCGGGGTTTGATTTGCTTGTGTGCATTTTAACTTCTAGAACAAGCGATATACTACGCTTCCATTCCTTTCTTTAATCCAACTTTTAGTTCATCCTTTATTATAATCTTATTTTCATTAATTGCCGCTATTATAATCTATTTCATAAAATCCGAAATTAACAAACCAAAAAGAAAGAAAAAAAAAAAAAGACTATAAGTCATTGAAATTTTATTAATGAATACGCACAAATTAAATGTGTGGATAATCGATAAATAGAAGTAAAAAAAATGATATGAATGGATTAAGCATATTCTGTTTAAAATGCAAATGAAAAGTGAAAATCCGTCAATTAATTGGTGCGTTTGTGATTTTTTTCGATTTTTTTTTTCTTTTTTTTTTTTTTTTTTTTTTT